TTCCCCATGCATGTGCATACTCACTTTCTGGACCTATAGTACGTGCACTCTCAGCTCTTACTCATTGCTTACCGCCGCTTCGGTCCAAGTGTGATCCCGCGACAATCGACTAGCTTCGCTCCCATTCATTCCACCCCTATACTGTAGTACACTAAAATTATAATACAGTATATGCTATTCGTACGAACTTGCACAAGTATGAAAAATTATACTGGTATACGCATCGCGCGTATTTTCGTAATGCTAATTGGTAATTGCCACGGAGGCTTTTATTATCGATTCAAAAATTTTTTCAGGCATTCCGTATTGATATCCGTTGAATTTAACGTATCCTGGAATTTCACTGATCTACACAGGTATATAGCAATGCTTTTATGTTCGTACACCGATACACCCTGTTCCATTTTAGGGAGACGAAAGTTTCGTGGACTCTGTCGTGCGTGAGCACTCTTGACTTTTAGGTACATGGGTGCGTGCATACATTAAGCGCACGGCTTCACGAGATACGCGGTTTCTTTAATCTTAATCAGAAGACGTATGGACGTAGCGGGTAACTACATTTGAACACGAGTACGCCATTAGCAAACAAGATCACCTACCTGACCCTCTACTCTCGCTGCCCTCCGCTCGTTGTGGCGCTCTAAAAACACCTCTGTAAATTAGTGATAAAACAGCGTGTGGGTGTCCGCGATATTTAGGTAAGAATTGCACGCCGAAGATCGTACCTTGAAATCGATCGTTCGTTTCATTTATTGCCAGGAACAGTCGTACGCGACGATACACATCTGGATTGGCCAGGGAAAATAAAATCTCTAGGGACTTTTTTTTTCTTCCTATAATTCCCTAAGCTATTACTTATTGCAAATTTGTAATTATAACGAGCCAGTTATATTATGTATCTATACGTCCATATAGGCGTTATCGACACAACCAGGAAGCCGATAGTCACCGGTTTCGTTATCACTCGGTGCGTATGTATGTACGTTTATATATGTTCCTACGTTATTCCTATATGTGCACGAAGCCTTGTATTTTAAAACGCAAATTCCGTTCTGCGTGGATACATTCTAAATCGTGTTACATACGCGATGTACGTGTACGCGTATCGTGATTACTTACGTTATCTAATTAATGTCTCGTTAACTTAAGGATTCCGATGGGGATCTAATCAGTTTTTTTACACCCCGCCTGAATCGTTCTTGCACACGATTATTCGAATAGTCGATACTCTCTCGTTGAACTGCTTTCCCGACTTTCATTTACTTCAGCAATGAAGTAAGCAAGTTTCAAACGTAACCTCGATTAACTCAACGAATTGTCAGACATCTTTTTTTTGTGTGTTAACAAAAAATTCCGACACGATAGAAACGCACAGAAAATCATTACGATTACTCATAGCTTCTCGGGACACTGTTCCAAATATATACGTTTGATTAGTTATGCTATTCAGTTCTCCTAGAATCGATAGCATTCGTTCGGCACGCTTTGCCACGAACACGATAAATCACGAGTACGTAAGAAACTGAAAGTTTTGTCACAGAGCTATATAGTCGCGTAATATTCTCTGGGGAATTATTCTAGGGTAATCGTAAAATTATATAAACCTCAAAGATATACTGTGTAGGTCACTCTCCAGTAGACATTAAATAATGACCTGCCGTCGCACGTCGCATCGTGGAGGTCGTATGTGACTACCTAAAATCCTACACGGTAACCTATAGTTGCGTAGGTAATCATTCCGGTATGATTCATCGAAATTAATTATATTCGACAATAATAAATGACAAAGTCCAAAATCATTAATTATACGCTAAGCTCAGACAATGCCTGACGAAACTTTTATATCGACCAATCCATACCAAGTACAACACACTATATGCTACCGAGCCAACGGGGAAATAATCAAAACCCGTTACAATGTCCGCATACAGCTGGAAAGTCATCGTGGGCTTAATTGCTGCAAATTACCTTGCCAATTATTTTCAACGTGGGCACGGACGAGCCGACCCACCTAGAAACACGATCGTTCAGTCAATGAAGGTCTATTCTATATATAGATTATATGTAGTGTATATAGTGTATATAATATAATAACAATAACTTATAAAAATTCGCCACCGTGTTTCTGTAACTTCTTGTATAGTCTAGTAACATCGCAGAAACAATCAACCTCCAGCATCCTTTCTTCTCGACGGCCGTAGACCAGCGAGTCCAACCTGAGCCACGACCAATGCAAGATATATTATAGTCGGCATGAAAATAGTAGGCTTAAAGTTGTTACACCCACATCGGCCACCTACTAGCGCTCGGACGTCTGTCAACCTGAGTTTCAACGTCAACGTCAACGTCAACGCTAGGCGAAGGGATCTGAAAGGCCGACATCATTAGCCAACCTCCCTCGCCCTACCTACCACTAAACACCATATTTTAATTACCCTCATGCTACAAGACTCTATCTATAGGCAACTATACGCATTTACGATTGAAATGTGATATCGGTTTACAATATAGCTATAATTGCGTACAAACCGATAGGATCGATACGCCGTCGCTCTTACTCGACGTATCGAGCCGACACTTACTCTGGTAATTAGCAGAAAAATTCAACTGGAAATTATTCGACGTAAGGCACCCTATCCGGTGGATGTATATCAACCAATTAGAAACGTTTCTGGCATATCAATTAATAACGGATTGTCATTTATGCTTGAATTTTTATCATGGTGAATTGACTATATTTTCAATATTAGATAAGACGCACATTTGCGGTTGGCGTGGAAATTGTATCTGATTTCGGAAATTTCATGTAACAGCTATTTAATATTTCCTGATTGCGTATATTATTATTGTTCGTTTAATTTCCGTTCGCAACGCTGGAAGTCTAAAAATACAATTTTGAATTCTACATGTTCCTTGTCATAGATTTTGGAGTCTACGAGAGGCTTCGGAATTTGAAGTGTTCCTGGTCGTAGCCTTTGCAGTCTTAGTATCTTTAATAGTCCTAAGCTTTCCGGCCCTAGTGGAATTATCCAAATTCCACGCACCCTAGAGCAATTTTCTGGTACAATCGCAGGTGCATAACAGCGCCATCTTGTGGAATTTGCCGGAACGAACTAAAATTCTCCCCTATGAAAATACATGTCTAAAATTCTCGTTCCATGCCCCTTAATGGAATTTTTCGGAACTATCGTAGATGCTTGACAACGCTATTTAGTGGAGCTTTCTAGAACTAAGGAGAACGAATTTACAAGACACGCATTTTCGCGGGGTGAATTTTTTTTTAGTTCCGGAAACCTCCGCCTGATGGTGCTGTGAAGGGCCTGCGCTAGTTCCGGAGAATTCCGCTAGGAAGCGTCGAACGTGAAGTTCATAGAGCATCTCCTAAAATTGAACTTTTGTAAGGACTAAATTTGTTGGTTCCTGCTAAGGTTGCTAAGGATACTACGACTGCAAAAGCTACAACCAGGAACACTCCAAATCCCGAACACTCCCGTAGACTCCAAAACCTATGATGAGGAATACATGGGATCCAACACGGAATATGTAGACTTTCAACTTTGCGAACGGAAATTAAACGAACAATGATAATACGCGCAATCGATGAGGATTCAAAAAATATTAAATAGTGGTCAAAATAAATTTTCAAAATCGTGCGCCGTTTCACCGCAAACGTGCATCTTATCTGATGCACTCTCTATAATATTATAAAATTATATATCTACATTTCTAATTAATGGTCATCTATAATATCGTCTGTTTTTCAAATATCGCGAGGACTACTTGAAAACACAAAAAGTAGGTCTCTGGGTTCAGTCAACTGCAAACTCTCCCATTTACTATGGAAGCGAAGCATTGCTCTCTATATAACGAGAGAACGGAGTGGCAACAGGTGGGTCCATGCCGAATCCACTTTGACCCGTTTCAACGAGAAACTCCTTTCGAGTACGAAGCCTCAGGGGCTTCGTTTGTTCCCTCAGTCATGAGTTTTCCCTGAAATTTCAGTAAAATCAGAAACTGCACGGCAATTAGGCTTCATGCATATATGTATGACTTGCAAAAAAAAAATGTAAGAGCGATGATTAGTATGAAGTAGAAAAAGAGAGAAACACTCAGAGTTATTTAATAAGATGGAAATGAGAATGAATGGAATAAAAAATTTTCGACCGTCCTTCTATATAAATGAATATAACTGTTAACTGTTCAACGATCCGCAACGATTTTTCTCCTGTGAAATTAGTTTATTGCACGATCCGGAATGAACGCGAACGTCGACTAACTGGACCCCAGTGGTCTCGTAGGACGAGTTACTCGAACCGTGGGAAGTTATGCAAAAAGTGTCCTACCAAGAAAGTAGATACCTACCTAACCTACCTACCTACCTATCTAGCAGTATACTTGTTGACTATGTTGATGATAGGAAGAACCAGAACTCACCTTCCCTCATAATCGTCAACATTTCAAACCAGTTGTGCTGAAGAATGAGCAACGTGTAACCAGCAACGAGCCGACCTGCGCGGCTTCGAACTGACACGCGTGAAATATTTTTGCTGTACGATGTCTTCATGAATGCGCGAGGTAATGAAATTGCATGCTTGAGGATAGATATAGTTTGCACCAACAGCCTCTTCCTCTCAAGAGAGAGAGAGAGAGAGAGAGAGAGAGAGAGAGAGAGAGAGAGAGAGACAGACTGGATGTTACCTGAAATAAGAAGACCAGAAAGGCAGCTGACAAGACTAAGCAGCTACTAATATACGCGTTAAGACTGCTACTGTGAGAGATGACGGGTAATAAAAAATGGGCGAATTCTTAAAACATACAGAAAACTTATGAATTGGTTCCGAAGATCATAAATTAGTCGTTCGAAACGTGAAAAATCCTGGCTGATCATTCCATCACGTTTCACGATATAACTGTAATTCACTTCAATCGGGCATCGTCACTACAATGTTGGAGTACTCTCATTTTTTTTAAATCCCTCGTCAAACCAAAATCCACTTGTTACTCTTGAGTTCATTCATTTCTTATATACATATACATCATATATATATTTAACTATTACATAAAGGCTTTGTTGCTGCGAAAAACTCTTGAAAATAACGAGTATATCAAAGTTACTATAGGCATAGTATATACGTATATAGTTGAATGTAGTTGATGGTGTCCGAGCTATGAAGGGGAAGTCCCGCACAATTCTCAGGACTAAAGTCGGGAAAGGATCGAAAGTCCTTATCAGATTTGTCGGTCCCTTCCTTGGCTCTAAGCGAACGAGACCCTAGAGGCGAATCCTTGAATATTTCAGAACTGGGGAGCCCTCATTGACAATGCTTGGAACACTCGAGCTACCCTTCATTCCCGGACATCGCTAAGACATTAACAAGGGATCGTTATGGTCCGTGTACATGCTCTTGGTTTATTCGTGAAGACCTCTCGAGAATTTTCGAGAACTTGAAAATCCATCTTATCGAATCAGTAATTGAAGCTAAGGATTCTTAGTATGCAGATACTATATGTATGCATATACTATATATACGCATATAATCACTCTCGAATTCAGATTATTTGTCTGAAACATGGTCTCTATTAAATAAATGCAAAGGAGTCATTGGAAAATTAGAAAAGTGCATCCACATGTAGACCAGCCTGGTACCGATCAGTCATTGTCGTCTCGACGATAAATCCACGTTCCAGGTTTTTCTAGAACGATCGGTTAGCGGTAGAAGGCAATCGATGCACCATTCCGTCTAGATTGATTCTAGAAGCATCCCCCGCAGCCCCGTACTACCCTGTCGAATACCATCTGTCGCTCTTGAGATACCAATAATTTTCCCAGCATCGATTTCCTCTCTGCTCTTTACGATTTCACTCCGATCGACTCTTGAATACCTGAAACAAAAATTATCGTGAACTAGAAGGTTATCAAGGGTTATCGCTGTTTGCCGTTGCTTTGTCAGCTGGGAATGACGAATGTCCTGCCCTTCTGTGACTCCAGTTTACCTCTAGTAACGTAGAACTATACCTATAGGTATTCTTGCAGGAAATACAGGTATAAAAAGTACGAACAGGACCCCAACACCATTATTCCATCCTTGGGGTTAGACAGCCAGATCGGACCCTAAAACCCTTCCTAGGATAACGGAACCATTAAGCTTGTCCATCCGCTGACCATAGTCTGCCAAGATGTGAACGTATATGGTATCCTGGTACGTCAGTCTCAGAACTCGAAGTCCGTGTAAACGAAACCCAGGAACTTCGAGTTCAGAAAGCTGAGGCTGGTTCGTAGATAAACAGGAGTTTAATCGTCCGGTGACGTCATCCACGAGCGTAGCCTTTCTCGGGACTGGTTCGGATGCCAATTACCCAAAGGTCGAGAGTCACTAGGATGTCAGGTAGCGGGTTAGTTCCTAACTGGTACGCAGGCATTCTCAGTTTAGTATATAATCTTTTTTTTTCAAATTCACCTAACCTGATCCGAATAGCATGAATTTTGGAAACACGATACTGGCGGATGAGATAAATCCGTGCAGAGTGACAGGAAATATCGGCCACTGATTAGGAGCATAGCTACTGGGGGTAGTCTGAAAGTGCTACTCTTTGTCGCCTTTAAAGGAAGTATACGGTATCTCGTTCCAGAATGCAGAAAATTCAAAGAAATAGTACAGATAAGATTTGGTAACATGGAAGACAAATTTTATTTTTTCTACTTGAATGTTATATACACTTCTACATCCTGTACCTACGACCCCAGGAATCCTAGAGGGAATCTGGAAGTTAATTTTGTACGAGAAGGGATCCGGCTGGTGGTGAGACTCATGTCAGAGGTCAGGGAAGACACACGTAACTATGGAACAATAATACCAGCTGGAGGGTGCATCCCATTAGGGTTGCCACAGCCCCGCCGATTCTAAAGACCCTGAAGCGATCTGGCAAGTATATGCCATGCATTATTAACGCGTGCGCACGCGGGAACGCGACAGACGAGCGCCGTCTAATGACCAATATATATTCATCGGCTTAATTAATTTACAGATGGGAAAGACTCATGAACGTCAAGGTCAGTTGAGCCATGAAATAATTTTTATTTTTGAAATTTCATAATTTTTATACGAGTGTGATATGTCACAACGCGGACTAAAATTTTAGCAGGTTTTGTAACGAGAAAAAAGATTTAATTATTTAAAATCATCAAATAAAACTTTCGTCTTGTTAATTGGTGATTTACCGTAAAAACATTTTTTCCCCCTTAATCATTCGACTAATGAGACTCGTATCGGATAATATAAACAAATTCAATTCCGTTCACCAGTAGTTAAATTATCTACGGTTAATTTATGATTTTACCATAAATTCCAGATAAGTATTTTCAATCTTCTGAAATTATTAAAGAAAAAAATGTTTTTCATAAAAAATAATTATGTCTCGCGTGATAAAGTCTAAATACTCTTTTTCACGTATCCCGTCAAAAACTTCAGGCAAACTAGGTGCGTTAAACACAGCATAATAGAGGCTCATTACTATGGGCAGATTCTACTTTGAGCCTCGATTAAGTTCAGAGGGCGAAAATATATAATTGACACGGAAATGCGACTTCGTAAGGGAGGCTTTTTTTCTTTAGCCATATATACATACATACATATATCACGTGCCAACCCTTCTTATTTCCATAGTCAGAAAGAGACTCGACTCAGTCACCACCCTAGAGCGTCTGAATAAAAGCCAACACATCACACCCCATAGATATACGTGCGGGTCCGTAGAAAAAAAAAAGAAGGAATAAAAGGAAAAAGATTTACAACCCTCGTATGAAATTCATACGCACTTCGCACCTACTAGCTACGCTTGGGGCATCAAAGGGTCCGGAAAAACATGGCCGACGCGAACAAGAGATATCCCGTCATAATCGAACTTCAAGTCGCCCAGTTCTCGCGCTCAGTTCCTTTATGCTCTCGTGGGGGATCCACGCTATTCACATCTACAAATACATATACCTATACAGATCCACTACTGGCAGCATCCCTTAACCATATCCAGGAAATGGTGGGCGCTCTCAAATGGATTCACCATCGAAATAGCTTTCGTGCCTAATAACCGGGTGTGCGTTATGCGCGGAGTGCATCGAGACAACAGACTTTGCACTTGCATTCCCACCAAGTCCATGGGGGAACCTTGGGTAGATAAAAATGATACGAACGATGGGGGACCATAGTTAAAAAATCCAGGGGTACCTTCAGGAACGGATTAAGGTAGATAATAAGTCTGCAAATTACAGAGGATTATTACAGGCACTAAAGTACGGAGGAAAGAGTATTACATATAGTACGTGTCAAGTTCATTATTTATATTAACCTCAAGATTAACGAAAACGGTACAAAAATATAACGGGTGTACGTATCACTTAATTTATTTGAAAATAAAAATTTGCCAACCACTTCGAAAGCCTAATCTCGCCGACGTTAATAATCATACATGGTTTATTGATAATTGTTACAACAGCATTGTTGCCTGTAGACGCATTACGTAATAACGTTTAAAGCGCGCCCAACGATTCGGTCGAGTTTCATGATTTATGTTAATTGCCAGAAAGTTTATCATTTATGATAATTAATTCCGAGCATTGGAATACATTAAAAAAGTATCCTGACACGCGACTGGCTCTCCCGCGATGGAAAGGGAATGTGTCGGACATTAGACACCCATAACCGTACCGAGCATCTTTTTATTCCCACAGGAATATCCGCTGGTAAATCAAATTTATCGGAGATATAAAATTTAATGAACTCTAATATGCTTACGGAATAAAATATCTCACGAGAAACAGAGCATTGCCAGACATTCGCTCTCGCTGACTTCTTTTTAAGAGCTCTAAGAAACATAATATCTGTGACACTTTTTTTTCCTAATAAATACACGGCCAATCTCTTACCTCGCCGTAGCACGGCGTAGGCAACCGAATAGGCAACTGGCGATAGGTAAACGTGCCGTGTATAAAAAGAGTAGAAAAAAAAGAGAGAGAGAAACAATGAACTGACTTGCACAGAGAAATCGAGGAAGTACCACTAGAAATGAAGTCCAACGCCAGAGGAGTCAAGCGACCATTTCACGGTCCAATAAGTCACTCGAGCGATTCCGCTGAATTCTGCGTTCTTTCTACAATGCGTAATAATTTACGCTATGGTAAATAATCCCGTGGGACCTTCGCGCAATATAACCCTGCCGTACCGTAGTCGCGACTACGCCTCTCAACGTCCATAGCTTCTCGCACCTTTACTAATGGCTGCCGCTCGGCCAGCCACCGTCAGATAAGTCGTAAATATAATCCGCAAGTTTTACGCTCGCCGCGCCTGCTAGACACACGCCTATTCGTTACGCCGGGCCAAGCAAAGAGTTTCGGGTCGGTGACCCCGACGATTAATAACCATTTTTAGGAGGCCTTCTCCTTGCGCCTCTTTCAACGAAGTATGCACGCCGTGGCAGCGTGTATCGAGGAAAGGCGTGTATGCCGCGTCCGCGGCCTTTCCGCACGAGAAAATTTTGCTGCCTCGTTTTCTTTCAGTCGGACGCGATATTGAAACTCGAAACTTTTACATTATCCTAAACCTGTTCTAGAAAAGAAAATTGACCGACGACCGTGGCACTACCTATACTAACGACGAAAATCGATCGCGCCTTTATTCCCCCCTGGGTCGCTCAAACTTTCCGGGAACTTCTCATCCTGGCTTTTCTCGGGCGAGAGAGCTTTTAAATAGGTTATAATTATTTACGCTTCAACTGCTCGGTTATTACGAACTGAATCCAAGTTTTACATAACACGGCTTTTCCCAAACTTTGGAACGGGCGGAAACAATTTTTCTTAAAGCTCGTACACCGCTGTATAAAGTTTATGCTGTACACGTTATGTTATTGTCGCTTTGATTTTTGACAATTATTTCATACCACATCAAAGCGTCCCGTATGGTAATCACCGATTGTTCTCTTTTTGTTGCAGGTACGTAAGTCCAGACTGGATCCATCGGAAAGAATGAAAATACAGAATCAACGCGAATAAAGGTTACGCAAATTTATTACGGAAAAAAGAAAACGAAAAAAAAACTCGAAAATATTCGCGCCCATTATTATTATTATTTGTTTCCTTTTACAAGGCTCATCGACAATATCCAAACGATCCGATACCCGACCAAGATGCATTCTCCCAAGATACGAAGGTGGAAGAGGCACTTTATGCGTTTCTTTCAGCTTGGCCTTTCGTTTGCAATAATTTATGCGAGAAGACAGCTTGAGAAATGACCACGGGCTTCTTGTGCAACCTTAATTTGCAACAGTTTACTCCAGGAACATTTTGAGAAATGACCAGCAGCAAGATACGAGGGCACAACCGGGATCAGAAATAAAGGAAGAAGAAAAAAAAATAAAATAAAAGAAGCCTCCCGCAGATAGATCGCCACGAAAGTGTTTATCGACACCGGTTTGATAAAACCGAAAAAGTCCATTCACCAAAGTCATACCATCGACTTTGCAATCTCGTGCCAACCGACCAGCCACAATAGAAGATCTAAGACCGACTCGCATATACAAATATACGAATACGTATATTAGTACCAATTACAAGTAGAACCTAACGATCCATGAAAACCGATTTGTCGAAGCGAACTGATTCCCCGCCGCGCTGAGACACTCTTCATGAACAAATTCCATCTCAATTCCAGGACGCATCCTGCGTGAGCCTAGATCCTCGAGGGAACGGCATCCTCCCCAGGGAGTAAGAAAGCGCACCACCTCCCTAGCACGAACCGAAGTAGCACGTATCATGGCGTTTCGTCCCGGCTGACATGCCGGCCCCTAGAAACAATTAATTCCTCTCTGACTTTTTTTCTCCATCAGCCATTATCCTTTCTTGCCGTACCGCAGCTTCCATTACTGACGCATCTAACTTTACGAATAATAATAACAACACGATATTACCAGCATAAGACGAGACTGTATACACTACATATTCAACGGTGGAAAGCAAGCATGGATATTGCTGAAGTGGATACTCCTTCTTCTTTCTCCTTCTCTAACCTGACTCTACTATCGAGAACGTATATACACAAAGCATACATATAGATATACCATATACGTTCCATCTTCCCGATTTCAGTACCATAATGCAATGGTGTTTGTATCTCTTACGCGCTGGCGTTATTGTTGCTGGCGGATTGTGAAGCGGTAGGAAATAAAGGTATGGCGAAGGGCGAAAAGCGAGGGAGTAGCAACGGGATGAAGTCAATTACATTATGCATATGACTGCGAGAAGCAATACAAGAAGCAATCGCCCGGCGAGGCATGCCACTGCTAAATTAACTACCTACCTAGTTGTGTGTAATGTAATAATGTACTATGGCTAGTTAATATATATATATATATATATATTTATATATATACATACCCACCTGCATTCCATCTGTGCGTATCCATAGGAGTCTTCTTGGCCATATCCGTCCAGGACGAGCCTGTCCGTTGGTACGTCTCGCGATTCCCAGTTCTTCGGACACCAATGAACATCCGTGCACGTCCTCGCCTACTGCACCCTGCTTGCCGTCGACGCTAAAGATAAGAAAGATGCCTGAGGTTTATGTCATAATACGAGAATAGTGCCCGGCACCTCGATACTTTGATATGCACACAAATCGTATGGAATCCGCAGATACACTAGTTCGTTATACCCGTTAATGCGATGCTTTCGTCAGGACTCGTCAAGATGACTGACTGACTGAACGAATTACTGACTGGCTAACTGGCTCGTCGGTCAGTTTGTTAGGTGCTTAGATGCTCGACTGTCCAGCACGACCGCCTGCTTGGATCTGTTCAGCCAAACAAAATAGACACGCACCGACAATACTATTCTTGTTGCGCGGCTCTGGCCTTATTACGGATCGTTGGCAATGCTAAGTGTAGGATAATAATGCGCAGTTGGTAGTAACGCGCTCTGAGTTTGTAATGTGCAGCTTGGCTGCGTCGACAATACCGTGAACACTTATCGCGTTGGGAATTAAATTTAGCAGCGAGAGTGGAGGAGCTTTTTCAATAGACTTTTTGCGGGGTAATTTTTTGTTTTCGTTCGGTTTATGAAAAATTGCTTGATTCATGCCTTTTCGAGGTTGTTCGTGTAGATGACTTTTTTGAGATTTTTGAACACGAGTATGAATTTTTTTATAGTTTTTTTTTTCGTTCCGCGAAATTTGTCTATGGACAATTATTATAATGGCGAGTGTCATGCAAGAACGGCCATCTTGATGCGTATGAGGTGTCCGAGTAACTCGATCGAGGGTGGGCTTACCGAGATCAAAACCCCTATCGGATTCCTTATGTTTCACAAATGGCTGCCTATGGTGTTGGTTACACACATCAGCCATCTTTGAGCCCTTACGTGCCTCCTTCGTACGGCTTTCTTCAGCAGCGGGATACGCCATTGCCCTGAAGACCTGCCCTTAACCGGACCCGATATCCAGCAACGAGAGAAGCGATCGATTTCGGTATCCGAACGGAAGTGCCGTCTCGACTCTTCGTGAGACTGGTTTTTGTATACGGCCAGAAAGATTCCACCTATGACATGACCTATGTCACTAAATGCATATTGAATTTCGTAAGATGGTAATTCCTATTTCAAAAATAGTCTATTAACAGTAACGAACCGTTATATAATTATGACTGTATTTATTAGCAATTTTTTAATGAAAATTAAAAATAATATATATGCATGTCTTCTTTACTAATCAAGTGAAACCAAACTTTCGTAATATCCATTTCCAGGCTAGTGACAGTGGTACTCGAATTATTACACACGCCATGACATTACGTTGTAGGTTATACCTCGAGACTTTACCTAATTGCCTTAACCGCCAGAAACTCGAAAGAATTGCCCACGCCAAGACGTTCGAAATTCTTTTGACTCGCCGTACACGCGGCTGGAAACATACGGTGAAATTTCAACACGCTCCTCGATGGAAAAGCATGTAGGGAGTATCAAACGGTTTCAAGGCTGGTTCACTGCGGCATCGTTGTTCACCGCCTTCTGGTACGTTTGACGTAAAAAGGTTCCGAACCGTGACTTCTCCGTTAATTGGAAAAATATTGGTAAGTTCGACGAGCGTAGGACGTGAACGCCTGGACAGTTGTACCATTAGGAAGAATCTGGTCTGCTTGGCGGAAATAATAAAATGTCGTGGAAGCGTATCTCCTCGACTGCACATGTTCAGTTAGGAATTTGAAGAAAGTCGTATATCGCTTCTATAATGAGGTATCTTAGGGTTACCAAAAAAAAAAATGTTCAAAAAGCAGCTACGAACCGAGTATCGAATAAATAAAAAATGTATAACGATCAAATCAGTGTGAATAAAGCACAATGATATTATTCGTTTCGAGATGAATTACGAAAAAAAAAAAAAAAAAAAAGTAGTGCCAGAATCGTTTTCGTTAAAAAAAAAAAAAAAAAACGAAAAACAACGTCGACCTCCCAGGCGATGTTCTTGTAATACAACGTCAGTCCGGTCAGAGTGTAAGGGTCGGAAAGAAGGAAGCAGAAAAAGAATTTTGACAGACTAAGACGAAGGTAACTGGAGACGGACTGGCAAGTCTTGGCTCACCATCCCTGTGTTCTTTGGTCCGCTGTGGAACCGCATCGGCAAAGTGTCGGTCCTCCTGATCCTGAGCAGCTTTCACTTGGACGGTCCAAGGAAGATTCAGGCGGTACATGCAAAAGTGAAGAAATCCCGTCTAACAGTGCTACACGCAACCATAATACCCGACCCTTGCCGGCTGAGTTCCTCGGTAGAGTGAGAGCCATTTTTTTTTGCAAAAGGGTTTCATACGCGCGTACCGGTTCAAAAGAGAGCCGATGGTAAAGGGGTTTATGCAAAGGAGATGGACGTAGGTGTGAATGTAGTCAAATCACATCAGCCTCACTTCGGCTGGCACTCGAAGAACCCTAGCCCATTCTCACGGCGTTGGGTATTCTTCTGGAGCGCGCGTACCACCGCCACGCACTTCCGTTGGGCACCGGTCTACATGCACCGCACGTAAATATCGCGCACGCATTCGAAACCAGCCTTTGTCTCGATCCGTTAACCTAGCCGCGCGACGCGTCGTCGACACCCTCGCACCTTCCTTCCGCGCCGCTGATCCCAGTGTTTTCGAGATGGTCTCCGACGCCAGATGTCGCGAGGGACCACTATCTTGAGTCTTCCGCCCCGATGGGGGATGCTGGGAGCCATGGATGGAGAACCTCGAATTATTTTGGAGTGGCGCACGAGTCGATTAACAGCCAGCCAACCCTCGCAGCTCCATAACTGCATGACCCTACTCATTTTGTTGTAATCACGCGATAGGCTGCGAGATCCTGTATGCAGAATAAAAATGTTCTCCACTTCTTTGAAACGTATAACGAAAGAGCGGGTGGTGGTTTCGGAGAGGGATGAAAAAAAAAAGAAAAAGAGAAAGAGAAGGAGGAGAGAGAGAGGAGAAAGAGGCAGTGAATAAGGAGTGCGTAAGAAGGGTGAGGCCAAGAAGAGGCGAGAAGAGCCAAAGAGCCATAGTGTTCGCGAAGCATGGTGAGACGCAGGCCAACCATTGGTCGGCTTCACCCCTTTGAGTGTTGGTGGGCGTGCGTGCGTGCGTGCGTGCGTGCGTACGTTCATACGAGTGCACACGGTTACGCCGCAGAAAGGGGTTAGTATACTCCGCAAGCAGCGTTGAAAAAGGGGTGGAAGTCATTCTGTTCTTTTTCCCTTTGTTTACCTTGGGCCGATCATTAAAATGGCCGCCGTATCGGTGAGTCCTCATTGGCCGAGGTCTCCCTTCTTTGCATCTACCCTCTCTCGATAATACACGCTCCCTGTACTTCAGGATCCTCACTGACTAAGTCCCTTCCATCCAGAGCTCTCTCTCTCTCTCTCTCTCTCATTCTTGGTCTTACACTCCACGTACCGAGTACGACCAACTCTAATATACATACCCAACCTCCACTCCCCTACTCATCCAGTCATCCAGTCATCCAGTCATCCAATCATCCAGTCCTAGTCTGTTCACTCGATTTCACAAAAATCCTCCCGGCTACTGAACAAAGAAACCTAAGAGTCGCGCGAACTCGTTATCCAATCCATACCCACCTACCTACCTACTTTCAGCTCGTAGCGTCGATCGATCTGGACACTCGAGTTCTCCTCTGAAGCAGAAGGGCACCGTGGCAACGCGAAAGATGAAGATAAAAAGGGACATAGTAACATTGAGAATGGCGCAGAAGAGGGAGACGAAGAAGAAGAAGAGAGGGAGAGAGAGAGAGAGAGAGAGAGAGAGAATCAAGGGGAGTCCAACGAGAACCGCATTCCGAAATCTGGAATAAGTCAGGCACCGCTTTATTTGCTCATTTCCCTCGAGCCCGAGACTTACTAAAGCCAAGCCGAGATGGACTGTCACCGGTGGTAATACATCGTCGCCTCTTCTCGACTCCTATAGACGGACAGAGAGACGTCGGGTTCACGCAAACACGTGTTACGGACAACAGGTCCGTCCCGTCCGACGTTCCCTGCCAACCGAGAGCAAGCAAGCAGGTAGCCAACCAAGCCATTCCATCCCGTCCTGCATCATCCCGTTCCGTTCCGTTCCATCCGGCAGACCGAAGCACCGTCTCATTCCCTTTCCCTCTTTATCCCTTTCTCTCGGCAGACTACAAACGAGCCGTATTCGCCAAATCCAGCTAACTCGAACCGAACTGAATCACAGGAATCCGCCTGCCAACCTCGCTACTACTGAACGCCGACTTCTCTTACCTTCAGCCTCTCCACCGTGACCGACCCACTGTCCTTTCCCTTCTACCTAGAGATACCTAGAGATACACGGAGAAAGCACGCGACTCCTTCACTCCCTGCTCCTTGCTCATCGTGGCATCAGCTTTCCTTTTTTTTTGTTTTCATTATCTTCTTCCTTTTTGTTTTACTTCTTCTAACTTCGAGCTACCTTCGTTTACTTCGTTAACGGTTATCGGCTGTCGTACATGCCCGACTTCACGGCGTTCGCTGGACGTCCGCAACCACGCACGTTCGTCACTGCCTGCCTACCTGCCTACCTACCTACTAGACATATATATAACACTTTACGACATAGTATCAACCAGTATAGCAGTTAACGTTTCTAGCTGGGTACACCATATCCATACCAGTCACAAGTATAGACTACTCTCGCTGAACACTGTGGCTCCACTCCAGCTTCAATCCGAAGGGAAGAGCGACGCCGCCCGCCTCCCGTGGAAGTCACGAAATACCACGCGAGTAGAAAGTCGTGTATTCGGAGCAGACGTAATTAGATGGTTACAACGAGAACTTCTTCGAGCAATCGGCCGGTACACGAGCGCGAATTCAACGTTTTGCATCGACAGGATTTCGTAACGGTACACACCCGCAACCAGTTCGCATAAGAATGTACGCGAGAAAGGGCGAAGGAAATAAGACAATCTACATATATATAGATATACATAGGAGCGTCCTCGTGCGGTTACGACATTTTCTCCAGAGTTCAAAAGGTATACGATACTTATCGGAGATGCCAATCGTGCGATCGGTTATCTTAGCGCGTTTCTATCCATCGAGAATAATGGGTGAAGTCGCCAAGAGATACAGAAACTACTATACGCATATATATATATATACAAAAAAAAAAACATAAATATCCAGCTATACGTAAAATTTGGAAAAAAAAAAGAAATCGAAAATGCAAAATAGAGTATAAAAGTTTCTCGGAAAGCCATACGCATGATTAAGGGTAACGACTTGTCTGCACGGTCGCGGAATTATGCGCTCTGCTGGATGCGGTATAATAAAGCGTGTCTAGTCACTGGGAGGAGTAGTGACACGGAATACTAAAGTCAAGAGGATGCTGAGCCAGTGTTAATTTCATTTCATTACCATTCGACTAAGGGCCAAACCAAAATTTCCCGTCTGGTCTTCCTCTCGGCAATTTAAATCGTTAGTATCGACCCGATGCACTACTTAGCCGTTGTAGAGCCGAGTAAACGCAAACGAAACGTATAGATATGAAGCGAAGCGAATGAGTGGTAAAGGGAAATAATATGGGTAGCCCACGGTAATCTTGATATTTAAACAACAAACGGAGGGAACAAACGTTTGCAGAATCGTGCCGAAAATATACCGTGCCGCTGCTGCTGCTGCTGCTGGTGGAAGCCAGTGCCCCAGGGCCGAACCGATAGCCGGCCATTTGCAGTCGTCAAAATATACGTCTGTCTCGAAGGTTTTGCCCTCTGCGTGCCTCCTGGCTCTGGCCCGATTATCCATTACCCAAGATTAGAGCGTCCATTTCTACCATCCCGAAAATTCCGTAGCTCTACGCTCGCTTCTTCCTACCATTTCATTCGGTTTCGAAGGAACGACTGTCTGTGGCGAAAGCCTCTTAAATACAAATGTTTATTATGGTACCTAAGTCACTGAACGGTCCTGCAGCAGCGTGAGAATCGGCAGCCACGACGATTCGCTGACCCTCCCCCCCAATAGGTGCACTCTAATAACCGTCGTTCCTGTGAAATCCAAATTACACGTGTGTGCCGAAGTCGGTAGCTCCAACGAAAAGAAACCCCCGAACGCATATGAGCTTGTCTAGGCCCATATACTCAAAAACATATAGCAACCCTAATCAAAGGGTATATATAATATTTAAATTAAAATACGACTTACTGTGTCCTATATAGGCTATGGTGACGTTACCATGAGTTATCATGAGTTACTGCGAAGAACCATAGAAATCATTCAGGGCATATAGGGTTGAAGAGAATTGACCGAGATTGAATTCTGAGTCTCGGGACTCCTAACCGATTAATGCCAACTAGCGGGATACTTTATACGATTGGTATTATACTTACTAGGGTTGCGATCAATTAACGAATAGAACAAATGTCTATATAACGATCGAACGTAATACAGAGCGTATTATTAATAACGAGCGCACAATCGCGCTACGGGCAAACACTCATTCTGATTCTGTACGCGTATCTAACTATACACGCAACGCTAAACAACCGATCAATTACGAATCGTACCAATCTAGTAAAGCCAATCGGTGATGTGTGCGGCTGCGTAATCACGTGCAACCAGACCCAGCCACATGTTGCACGGCATACGCAAGATCCGAGTGTTAATTTCATTCGAATTGCCCAATGAGAAAAGATTATAACAGTCGGTAAACACGTGGGTTCAATTTCTTATCAGTCTCTCAATAAAGTCAATGTACGTGCCATTCTCGGAATGTTAATTAATTAAATGGATTTTTTTACAGTATCCATACGTATCTG